TACAGAATGAACAACACTGATAACAACCGCCAGGTGACTGTTACAAAGCTTATATTTCAGACTTCAGCGTTGAGGTGCAGCCTATTCGAACCACTTGCCGCTCCGTAAAAAATGCAATTATTTTACCATATTGATAAGTTGGAACCTATCCCACCTAACCTATCGCGGCCGAAAGTCAGAGAACGTTAATATTACGGTAGTACAAGTTGTACTAAAACCGTTCAGTTTTGACTGTTTGATTGAATCCGATAAAAATGTGAGGAATTAAATGAGATGACAGGTTGTACAACAATTAAACGGAGACAAGTGGTTAACAGGAAATACGTGGTGAACAGGTGACACACGGTGAACAGGAGACACGTGGTGAACAGGAGACACACGGTCAACAGGAGACACGTGGTGAACAGGAGACACACGGTGAACAGGAGACACACGGTGAACAGGAGACACACGGTGAACAGGAGACACACGGTGAACAGGTGACACACGGTGAACAGGAGACACACGGTGAACAGGTGACACACGGTGAACAGGAGACACACGGTGAACAGGAGACACGTGGTGAACAGGAGACACACGGTGAACAGGAGACACGTGGTGAACAGGAGACACACGGTGAACAGGTGACACACGGTGAACAGGAGACACACGGTGAACAGGAGACACGTGGTGAACAGGAGACACACGGTGAACAGGAGACACGTGGTGAACAGGAGACACACGGTGAACAGGTGACACACGGTGAACAGGAGACACGTGGTGAACAGGAGACACACGGTGAACAGGAGACACACGGTGAACAGGAGACACACGGTCAACAGGAGATACGTGGTGAACAGGAGACACACGGTGAACAGGAGACACGTGGTGAACAGGAGACACGGTGAACAGGAGACACGTGGTGAACAGGAGACACACGGTGAACAGGAGACACACGGTGAACAGGAGACACACGGTGAACAGGAGACACACGGTGAACAGGAGACACACGGTGAACAGGAGACACACGGTGAACAGGAGACACGGTGAACAGGAGACACACGGTGAACAGGGACACGTGGAGTAGAGGAGACAAGCGGTGCTCGGGAGACACGTGGAGTACAGATGACACATATTCTCGTCTCACGCGGGCCGATCAATAATTGCAATAAACAAGGTCAATATAATCATTGCATGAGGAGCAGGCGGCCATGCAATCAGTCAAGGTGGTTGTCCCGAGTGTGCAAGAGCCACGAGCGGGATAATGGCTACCGCATCGATCAATCCTGCAATATTTCCAACGGAGGCCACTAGCTGAATGGCCTTCATATCTGCTTCAGGTTTAAATCGTCTAATAGCCAGAACCGTATTTTTGCGGCTAGTAGGCAGTGTCTGCATTTCCTAATAGCTAATACGTATTTGTTTTTGTTCTAGTAATTAGATTTTATTGATAACGTTAATTTCTAGTTCATTTAAGACTTGGTTTACTTCCCATAGGCAGAGTTTTGTCATTATTGATATATTTTGGTTAAGTTCCTAAATAAGTTTTGGCAAAAAAAATCATGTTTTAAAAGAAAACTATTTATTGACACATTATATATATATATATATATATATATATATATATATTAGTATATTTTGGTAGCAGTCTTTCCTGTAGACATATTTTATTAAATATGACTGAAAAAGTAAGATTAATAATTCTAACACGAATTTTCTCAATCTTTCGTACATTATGCTTCACTGTTGGAGGTAAATCAAAAATCACTTCTCCAAAATTCATTTTTATTTCTAGTCTGACGCGACACGGGCGCGTTTCGTAAAACTTATTACATTTTCAAAGACTTCACAAATACACAACTGATTAGAACTTGCGTTTCCCTGATTTTATATCTACATTTGAGTGAGGTGGGAAGGGTGATGTGGCATTACATTTGAGTAAGGTGGGAAGGATGATGTGGCATTAGAGGATATTAATAGGGTATTAAAAGTATCAACACAAGACAGAACACGAAACAATGGATATTGAATAGAAGTGTTTGTAGAAAGCCTATTGGTCCATATTTCTTGATGCTTCTATATTGGAGCGGAGTCTTGAGGTGGGTAGAATATAGTTGTGCAATAATTGGCTGTTGATTGCTGGTGTTGACTTCTTGATGTGTAGTGCCTCGCAAACGTCGAGCCGCCTGCTATCGCTGTATCTATCGATGATTTCTGTGTTGTTTACTAGGATTTCTCTGGCGATGGTTTGGTTATGGGAAGAGATTATATGTTCCTTAATGGAGCCCTGTTGTTTATGCATCGTTAAACGCCTAGAAAGAGATGTTGTTGTCTTGCCTATATACTGGGTTTTTTGGAGCTTACAGTCCCCAAGTGGGCATTTGAAGGCATAGACGACGTTAGTCTCTTTTAAAGCGTTCTGTTTCGTGTCTGGAGAGTTTCTCATGAGTAGGCTGGCCGTTTTTCTGGTTTTATAGTAAATCGTCAGTTGTATCCTCTGATTTTTGTCTGTAGGGATAACGTTTCTATTAACAATATCTTTCAGGACCCTTTCCTCTGTTTTATGAGCTGTGGAAAAGAAGTTCCTGTAAAATAGTCTAATAGGGGGTATAGGTGTTGTGTTAGTTGTCTCTTCGGAGGTTGCATGGCTTTTCACTTTCCTTCTTATGATGTCTTCGATGAAACCATTGGAGAAGCCGTTATTGACTAGAACCTGCCTTACCCTACAGAGTTCTTCGTCGACTTGCTTCCATTCTGAGCTGTGGCTGAGAGCACGGTCGACGTATGCGTTAACAACACTCCTCTTGTACCTGTCAGGGCAGTCGCTGTTGGCATTTAGGCACATTCCTATGTTTGTTTCCTTTGTGTAGACTGCAGTGTGGAAACCTCCGCCCTTTTCCATGACTGTTACATCTAGAAAAGGCAGCTTCCCATCCTTTTCCGTCTCGTAAGTGAAACGCAGCACGGAACTCTGCTCAAATGCCTCCTTCAGCTCCTGCAGATGTCTGACATCAGGTACCTGTGTAAAAATGTCGTCAACATACCTGCAGTATATGGCCGGTTTCAAGTTCATGTCGACTAAGACTTTTTGCTCGATGGTACCCATGTAGAAGTTTGCAAACAGGACACCTAGGGGAGAACCCATAGCGACCCCATCTACTTGCTTATACATGTGCCCATCCGGGCTCAAGAAGGGTGCCTCTTTAGTACAAGCTTGGAGTAGTTTCCTCAGAATACTTTCTGGCATGTCAAGAGGAGTACAGGCTGGATCACGATACACTCTGTCGGCTATCATTCCGATTGTCTCGTCCACAGGTACGTTGGTAAACAGCGATTCTACGTCCAACGAGGCTCTTATCCCTGTGGCCCGTGCGCCCCGCAGTAAGTCCACAAATTCCTTTGGAGACTTCAGGCTGAAGGCGCAAGGAACATAAGGAGTCAGCAGGCCGTTGAGTCGCTTCGCCAATCTGTACGTGGGTGTGGGTATCTGGCTAATGATGAATTTTTGGAGAAGTGAATTTTTGATTTACCTCCAACAGTGAAGCATAATGTACGAAAGATTGAGAAAATTCGTGTTAGAATTATTAATCTTACTTTTTCGGTCATATTTAATAATATATATATATATATATATATATATATATATATATATATATATATATATATATATATATATATATATATATATATATATATATATATTCTATACATATCTTATATATATATTAGATATATATTCCTTGAAATAATATGGTCTTGTAATTTTTTATCTTAGGTTGGAATTTGCGCATATATTAACTGTTGATCACACAGATGGGATAGCGGGGAACCCCTGGAAGAACGACAAACAGTTAGCGTGGGTAACTGCTTGTCGTAGTCAACCCTGGCTAACCCTTGCATTGACTTTAGTGTTGCACAACCGGGTGGCGCTGCCACTCACTGGGAATCAGCCAAGTCTCGCCAGTACAGAGAACTGTATCACTACTACAATTTTGTCCCCATTGCTTCCGACACACTTGGCGCCTGGAGTAAGAGTGCCACTAGTTTACCTAAGGATTTGAGTTTTAAGCTAATCGAAACAACAAGAGACCCTAGAGCTGCCAGCTTCATTTTCCAGCGCCTCAGCGTGGCAATACAGAGGGGGAACCCGCATTACATTCAGGGTTCCTGCCCGCCAGCTGACGAGCTGGAGGAACTCGACAGCTTATAACAAATAACTTTGTACCTTGTATGTAACTCATTTAGTGTAATAAAGTTCAAATAAAATAAATCAATTACAAATATATATAAGGGGGTGGTAGACGACAATATATGCGATCACACACGGGATCCCCCCAGTGCTCCAGTATATTATATATATATATATATATATATATATATATATATATATATATATATATATATATATATATATATATATATATATATATATATATATATATATATATATATATATATATAATGTATGTATTTATTTGTGTAAGCATATGTGTACTTCTGAAATGTATATGTATATAATGGAGGGAGAGGAGAGGTATGATATCTGGGGTAGTATTGAAGGAGCCATCAACAGGATGAGAGACGCTCCAGGACTGGCTGCCATCATCCTATCCCTCATCATCCTCAACAGTTGGTATGATAACAATGCGTCGCGCTTGCCAGAAATATGTAGAGCGTAAGAGGAGACGCCGCGGCTGCCCTAGAACGATATATAGTTCAAATATTGAGGGACACAATTTTCTTTCTTCTATTTTCAGGCTACATTAGTGTCTGCCTGCCGCACAAGCCCTTCTTGGCCGCCTCACTTTGATGGTAACCAGACATTTGTGGCCCTTTTGCGCTGGTGGCCCTGAGTGGTAGAGTCTGGCTCCGCCCCTCGCGCTCTATTGGTCAGTATAGAGGTCGCCCCTCCACCTCATTGGTCAGATGTCGGTGGAGCATGCGCGGAGGCGACCAATCGGCACTGAGTGGGCGGGGCTCGGTGGGTCCTGCTGTGGCAGGCGGGCTTTATGTGCGGGTCGTCAGTGTTGTTTGGCGCTGCCTATTTAGAGGTTGACTGTGTGATTTAGTGAAGTGTTGAGAAATTTCGCTGGCCATTCTGCTGGACTGTAGGCATTATCCCGCCGCTATGACGGAAACTATCAAAGGTAAGCTCCGAGCCGCGTCTCCCTGGTTGTGAGTGCGTCGGGGCTTGCTAACTGTTACAGACGAACAAGGCGCCGTAATGACCGCTAAACGCTTCATATTGTGGGAAAAATCATACCAGTTCGTATCGGTACGAGTGCGTCGTTTGCCACTAGCGTTGCGTCCCCCGAATTGTCAAGCTGCGTGAACGAAATGTGCCGGTATAGGTTCACTGTGAGATGGAGTGGGAGAAGCGGTAGAACCAGGAGCTTGCCATGTGATTAGGAGATCGGGCGTTATAACCTCACTACAGCCCTCAACCAACAGTCCCTACCACAACCCTCGTTCCACTGTCCCTACCACGACCCTCATCCCACTATCCTCACCACAACCCTCGTTCCACTGTCCCTACCACGACTCATCCCACTATCCTCACCACGACCCTCATCCCACTATCCTCACCACGACCCTCATCCCACTATCTTCACCTCGACCCTCATCCCACTATCCTCACCACGACCCTCATCCCACTATCCTCACCACGACCCTCATCCCATTATCCTCACCACGACCCTCATCCCACTATCCTCACCACAACCCTCAACTCACTGTCCTCACCACAACCCTCAACCCACTGTCCTCACCACAACACTCAACCCATTGTCCCCACCACAACCCTCAACCCACTGTCCTCACCACAACCCTCAACCCATTGTCCCCACCACAACAGAACCCACTGTCTCCACCACAATCCTCGGCTCACCTCCACACCACAACCCCCAACCTACTGTCACCATTACAACCCCTATCCACCTGTCCTTACCTCAACCTTCAACCCACTTGGACTACTACACCCCGCAATCCACTATCCCCACCACAGCCATTCAACCAACAGTCTCCAACACAAACCCCAACCCGCTATCCTCACCACAGTCCTCAACCCACTGTTTCCACTGCAAACAGCATCCCACAATCACGACCACAACCCCTTCCTATCACCACCACATCCCCTAACCCATACTGCCCACCGCAACCCATAATCCACGGTCCCCACACCAATCTCCAATCCTCGGTGGCCATCACAACCCACCCTCCCCACAACTGTCCCGAGTGCGAGAACGCCACTAGAACAAGGAACCGAACAAGAGACAGTCAAATGGGAACAAATAATAATTAGTGTAACGATAGCGAGAAAGTTGATAGTGGAGCGAGAAGAGCCCTCTAGCGGCGGCACTAACAGTCCTTCACTACTGGAGAGCTTTGGCAAAGAACTTTGACTGGGCTAAAAGACAAATATACCAGTGTCTTAAGACAATTTTACTTAGCCACGGAAAAAAAAGCAAAGAACTAGGATGTTGGCCAGTGTTTCCAGGAACGTCTTGCGAGCTACCGGTAACTAGTGCTTGCATATATCATGGGGTGATGCGGGCTCACTAATATTATCTTAGCCGTGGCCTATTGTGTACTAATACTGTCAATACCTTCGTGGATGAGACTAATATTCCCAACATTTCAATGATTGAATTTAATTGAAAAATGGCTATTCTAAGTTTCCGACTTGTATCGAAAATGTATGTATTGATTATTTGTGACAGTTACTGTGTAAAGTATTTTATGGGCTAATTATAGACTTAATTGGCGGAGGTAATTAGGCAGCGAGTTTCGATCGCATGTTAAGCTGCCAGTCACGTTGTGTCACGGCAGCGGTGTCATCGATCAATGTGTCGGTGTCGGGCCGTCACCCTCGGCTCTCATTGTGGCGTCAACTACCCTGGTTGCTGCTACTTGCCGGCGCGACCAACCTACTGGCGTCCAGCCCTGTTATTTGTGCCGTCCATCCGTCACTGCATCACTGGCTGTCTCATCCGTCAACCGTCCGTTGATCTGCTATTTGGTTTCTCTATTTGTCGTCCTCTGTTACTTATTACTCGTCCGTTGTTACTCATTGCTCGTCCGTTGTCATTCATTATACGTCCGTTGTCTCATTCATTACTCGTCCGTTGTCTCATTCATTACTCGTCCGTTGACGTTCGTGACTTCTTACCCATTACGTTTGTACGTCATCAGACATGGTGTAACTAATTGGCAAATTTCGCCAATTTCTCTTCATTCAGTGCGTCTATGTCACGGCATCGTTAATCAAAGATTCTTGAATTAAATCCATTGCGTCATTCAGTCATGATTAAATCCATTGAGTCATGATTAAATCCATTGAGTCATGATTAAATCCATTGAGTCATAATTAAATCCATTGCGTCAATTGGGTCATCATAATTAAATCCACTGCGTGACTGAATGGAAATTCTGTGCACTATTACCTTGTGAGAAATATAAACTTTAAGTTCTGATATTATCTGTCGTTTAGATCTTCCCCTGAAAAATACCCGTGTTCATATTTCCTGCGGAGAAATATGATATGTACAGTTGTACATATTCTGTAAGATCAATTTTGCCATATTACTTTGTAATTAATAGTTTTTACTAATAAAATATGTGCAAGTAGTACCAACGAAATGTTAAATCTCATATCCGTTTCTACTGCTGAGGTAATCACCGTGCCCACTGTTAGTACTGTTGGGTAGTTTATTATCGTGCCCTGTTAGTACTGTTGGGGTAGTTTATCACTATGCTCACAGTTAGTATTGTTGAGGAAGTTTATTACCGTGCCCGCTGTTAGTACTGTTGGGGTAGTTTGTCATCGAGTCCACTGTTAGGTAGTTTATCATTTGGTGACAAGTTCCAGGTACTTAGGTATTGTGGAAACGAGGAAGTTAAACGAAACACAGGGTACAGGACACAATCAAACCTACATAGAGGAAAGCAACTTGTAAAAGATCTGGGAATTAAGATGTCTGACGACCTGACATTTAGTGAATATGAACATAACCGTGCAACTATAGCGGCGGCTAGGAAAATGATAGGATGGATTATGAGAACGTTCAACTGCAGAGACCCCACAGCAACGCTAATACTATTTAAATCACTGGTGTTGTCCCGTCTTGAGTATTGCTCGGTACTCACTTTCCCTTTCAGAGCGGGAGAGATCTCTGAATTATAGGGAATACAGAAAACATGTACGGCACGCATAGACGCGATAAAGCACCTAAATTATTAGGACAGTCTCTAAGCTCTCAAAATCGTCTCTTTGAAAAGGAGACGAGAGAAGTATCAATAATATATACATGGAATATACTTGAAAAACCAGATACGAAATTGGCACAGTAGAATAACACACTGGAACGAAAGAGAGGCAAGGAAATGCAGAGAACAAATGAAGAGTATAGGTGCCAGTCACAATCGGAGAACGCTGAACATCAGAGGTTCACAGCTGTTCAACACCCTCCTAACAAGCATTAAAAATATTACCGGAACAAAGGTGTATTGAAGAGGCACTTATCTAAGTTCTTGCAAGAAGTGCCGGACCAACCAGGCTGCAGTGGATATGTGGGCCTGTGGGCCGCTCCAAGTTGGAAAGCCTGTTGGACCAAGTTATCACAAGTCGAGCCTGGCCTCAGGTCGAGCTCGGAGAGTAGAACTACTCCCAGAACTCCCTCCAGGTACGCCCTATTTTAAAGGTATTATTTGGGTACAGTTATTATCGTCTTCTGCTAAAATTATTCTCTTATTGACCAGACCACACACTAGAAATTGAAGGGACGACGACGTTTCGGTCCGTCCTGGACCATTCTCAAGTCGATTGTGACGATTCTCTTATGACGATTTGTGGTATCCTGCCTCAAGGAATATATGAGCTACTGTATTATTATTTACAATTGTGTTATCAGGCTTTCCATAATATTTTGGTTAGGCTGCAGTAAATATTTTGGCTATCTTTTCAATAGGGTTACTATATATTTTTGCTTTTTTCCCAACCATTATGCTGTACATGGTATATATTTTGGCTATCTGTCCAGTATAGCTTCTATATATTTTGGCTATCTGTCCAGTATAGCTTCTATATATTTTGGCAACATTTCCCATATAGCTGCTATATATTTTACTATCGTTTTTAATATAGCTTCTAGATACTTTGGCTATCTTTTCAATATAGATTCTATATATTTTTACTATATATCAGATGTAGCTATTATATACAGTATTTTGGCTACCCTTTTTAATATAGTTACAATATATTTTGGCGTTTAAATATATCTACAGTGCTATATATTTTTGCTATCTAATATAGCTACTATATGTTTTTGCTATCGTTCTAAAATATCTATATAATTTTTCCATCTTTCTAATATAGCTATATTTTTTGGATATCTCTGTTTTTTTCCAGATGTTAGCCTCAGTTTTTTATATTTTGCCTTTTAGAATAAATTGTTATTCTATCGCTTCAGTAAATATATTTTATCTGTCCTGCTGCCTTTCATATATATTTAAGTTGTAATTTTAGTTATATTTTTGAGATATCGAGTTTTAACAAATATTGAGGCTATCGTGTTCTAAGGAACATTTTGTCAATTCTTGTTACATTTAATATTTTGGGATTCTACTCTGTGGAACAATATGGCTCACCCCTCCTCGAAGGTTATTTTTGATATATTTCTCTTAAGCATATTTTACCTACCCTCCTTCGATGGAAATTTTGGCTGTTCTTCCCCGAAGGATATTTTTGTTATCCTCATTTTCTGTTAATGTTTTGCTTAACCTCGGCTAGGCTACTGTTTTCCCAAGAACATTTGGGTTTAAAAGTTGCTCTATATCAACCCATTCTACTGTTTACATAGTAGCTTTTGTAACTATGTGGCACCATAGGACAAAGGGATGGGAACTTAGGGGAAAGTGGTAAGCTATTACGACTATATAGCACTGGGAAGGGGTCAGAATAAGGATTTGGGATGGGACGGGGAAAAGAAATAGTGCCCAACCACATGGACGATCGGGAATAAGATTGCCGTTCTAAGCCAGTTTGATAGAAGAACTTTGTACTATTCACTTTATAATGTCTGAAAAAAATGAAGCTAAAAAAACTCAAATAATCCTAGGCCTAGTATAGCACACATTTTTACTATATTAGGCATTGGAAGGTTAGGTTTTGTTTGTCTTTGCAACATAAGTAAAAAATAGTTTTCCTGTTTGTCCAACTCAATAGTGCCGATTTCTACTTTCTAATTTCGTTGTACGTGGGTATATATACTGTGGTCCTCTGTGTTACTATAAGTACTACCAAAACAGGAGGATGGGCTGTATGTATATATTTATATATGTATATATGACGGTGTCAGACCACGAAGGAAGGATTGAAACAGGAATTTCCTTAAGTTCTTTCGTATTTAATAATACATCTTCAGAAGAATGATTAAAAATTAAAAAAAAAAGTATTTCCATTTCAACTAATATATTAAATACGAAAGTACTTAAGGAAATTCCTGTTTCAATCCTTTCTCCGTGGTCTGACGTGTGTGTGTGTGTGTGTGTGTGTGTTATATATATATATATATATATATATATATATATATATATATATATATATATATATATATATATATATATATATATATATATATATATATATATATATATATATATATATATATATATATATATATATATATATATATATATATATATATATATATATATATATATATATATATATATATATATACACACATGTTGTTCCTAATAGCCAGAACACACTACTTGGCCAAGTATGCAAGACCCGATTTGTCTAATAAGCCAAGTTTTCGTAAAGTAATAAATTGTTATAAAAAAAATCTTGGGAATTGATAAAGCTTTCCATTATATTATATATGATTTAATTTCTTTTAATTTGATTTAAAACTAATGAAGAAATATGTCCAAACCTACCTAATCTAACCTAACCTCTCTTAACCTAACCTAAACTGAACTAACATAACTCAGTAATTCATGTTCCTAATATAATAATATTAATTCAAACCATTTGGAAACAAAATTTTGAAACTATTGAAAATCACTTTGTCTATTAGCAAATCTGGCCTTGCATACTAGGCCGAGTAGTGCGTTCTGGCTTTTAGGTACATTATATATATATATATATTATATATAATGTCTTCAACGGGTATGCTTAATACTTAGATCATATTATATAATTACGTGAATGCTTCGTTTCTCTTATCAAACAATTTAACATGGTAGAATTGTCGGTGTAAAACAATTTGGAGAGGTATTATCTTGCGCTGGAGATAATGATGGATCTCTGCTACTGTATAATTTGCCAATTTACATATCTTGCAGTATTGCAATTTCAACTAATTAAACTGTATCTAATCACTGTTATAAATAATTTCTATAATGTCAATTTAGAATATTCATAAAATATGAAGAATGTGTGTTTTAATGTATTTTAATTTGCACATTAAAAGCGATATCTTCGACTATTAGAAAGCGATTTTAGAGCATTC